TGGATCCGCGTCAGAAGACCTATCGTCAAATGTGATATGAAAGGATCAGTATTGTATGTAATGTTCTCCTAAAAAGGGGAGGTGTTAGGTATCCACAGATTACTGAGATAACTGCATACTGATATGACTTACTAGGTGTAAACACAGTATATAAACCCAGTAATTTATCAGTGACTACTTTTCTCTCTCATCATTCGTCTCAGTCGGCTCGACCAATAAACCTTCCTGACACACCTGGCTATCAACCGTCTACCAGCGGCCCACAAACGTAACAAGAGCTAAGACGGAAAAATACCAGTTAAAAAGCTCACCTCACTGAGCTGAACTAGAAAAGGTATGAGGTCATCGGAGTGAATACTACTCATACTCGATAGCACTTCTGATTCAAACCATTCCAGCTCGTCACACATATCGTTCATGAACCTAGCTGCGTGATCTGCGTCATCTTCGCTGCGATCCTTAACGGTAAATTATGTTAAATGAAAACATGTCAAAGCCTTTGTGACATAGGTCACACTCCTAGCGCATGACTAGCTTACAGAAGCTATGCACATCTCTCAAACGCTAACATCAATATCCAAATGAAACATAAAATCCAGTACGAACCTTGCAGTTTATTAGAACTGCACCCAATGTCTGCTTCATCTCAAAAGTCTCGACGATGAGATCATCTGGAATCCCAATATCCACTACTTCGTTGCCCAGTCTAAGATCTACGAAATGCCGGATCGTGGACAATTTCTGAATCAAAACAGTTCTAGTGAGCAAACAAATCGTCGATGAGCTAATGTGTAAATGATCTAATCTCCTGAACTACCATAAATCTATAGTGTGACACGACCATCAAAAATTGGCTAAGCATGGGCTGGTGCAATTATCCATGGAATAAGAGGAGCAAGTTCGAAAGTAGATGCTAGATGTCGTTTAAAAAGTTTGCCGCCACACACTAGTAAATGCTTTACAAGCAAATTAACGAGAAGATCAGAAGTATGCACCACCAAAGGGATCAACACATACATCGGTACACGGGTCGAAATGATCAAGTTGGTGACAAGTAGTAAAGCTGGTTGTAAATACCTGTGATCTACAGATATCTGCCCCCAGCGTCATCCCCCACTCATCACCAACTTAATTTACTCCGTCCACTACTCATGGATAACTCAATTGTTCTTTACCTGTAATGATGCATTATGGAAATATAATATCTACAAATAAGTGTAGCAACAGATGTTTCACTCAACTAATCCCTTGCACGTCTAAACACTCATCACTTCTGGGCTATGATGTATCATGCAAAGGACTTCTGTGGCATTACACGCACATTTAATTAGAAGGGAAGCACGATGTATACGAGCCAACCTTATAAAACTTTTCCAGTTGATACAGATGGTTGCATGTGACCATTTGATTCGTTGTATAACTTCTCAGCAGATATTTCAAGTAACGAAGCGCCTTCCGTAAACGATCCACAGGAGGTAACTAAATTGTATGAAGCTACAACAACGAAACAGTTCCAGCAAGAACAATCAAATTAAAAATCAATCCAGATGAAATCTGTTAATTTAGAAGTTAGAACTATCGCTTCCATCTTTTTCATAGCCCTAAAAGGAACCGATCTCATGATTTGCGCACAATCCAATAAATGCTCTATCCCATCTAGCAAAACAGACGTACTAAATCGGACCCCCAAAACTAAGGCAGCAAACACCAGAATTCCACCGTTGTTATTCCCAACTATCAAACAGAAGCGACGAGACTGTTTCCTCATGTTTACGATTATGAAAAGAAAATCAAGTCAAGATTATTTTGACTAGAGAAGGAATCTATCTACAGTGGCTTTGTTTGCACGCGTGTTTGAACGCTGATTTCAAACACTCTAAGTCCGTAAAACGATTCTAGGAGCCTGTTACGAAAGCGTTTCCCCCTAGTGACACGAGATTCCGTCCAATAGATAGGCACGTTGAACACTGCCGAATGTTTAGGGATGGCGTAGCTGATATGCTCGTAAACTCGTACGCAAGGGATTCAGGTTTATATGTTTGATAAATGTTCTCACTTGTTTTTTTTNTTTTTTTTCATTAATTCAGCGGTGAACATGACAATTCCGAGCCTCACGTTTAAGAACACTGGAAGTAGCCTCACAAGGTTTCGGTCTCGGACGGGACTCAAACCCGTACTTGTGCTATTCCGGCACCTGCTCTTTTTCCTTACACTAACCAGGCTGTTTGCCCTCGCCTTTTTGACGATTTATATAGCCTAGCATAGCTTATCAGCACTCGCGTGTAGAGCTGTTACCAGCACCTATATCGTGTTGAGCTGGCCAGCCAATAAGCTAAACACTAAACCCTTAAACTGTAAGCTTTTCTTGTCCGAACCTTTTTAGACTTGACGTTTTATGAACTGGTGCTATTCAACAAATAACAACAGCTTATTAAACATCACGGCAAAACTGAAGTTAGTTTTCTAGAGAGAAGTTCGGTGCTAATTTTGTGTGATTCCAACAAGGAAAGCCTTACAGGGCGTGAGACGCTTTTTGAAAATGATTTTTTACACGGTGGCATTAGCACTGAGTACGGAACTATGGTCCATTTCCGCTAAACAACCTTCTGAATGCCAAAAAAGAGTGAAAATGATTTTGTCAGAAATTACCGTTTATCCCAATAACCGTCGTTTGTTTCATTCTTGGCGTCGACTGTCCGTACAGTTGAAGGTGCCAGTGGACTTCGCATTGAAAATAATGGATGTTGCTGTGCCACGTGTTGAAATGTGTTGAAAAGTGAGGGGAAGTTTCATATGTGTTCTCCGCAGTTAAGCTGCTGGCAGCGACGGATGGTGTGGTGGATAGCGATGTGGCATTCGAGTTGGGACGACTGGGCTGGGTTGGTGGTTCGGATCCCCGGGGCCTTGCCGTTTTTGCATTTTATGCTGCCACCTCCAAATTGGCTCCATATTGAACCAGGGCCAAAGCAAG